ACAATCCAAATAAACACAATCAGAAATGACAAAGGAAACATTACCACTGGTCCCACAGGAAAAAAAAAAAAAAGAAAGAAAGAAAACCTCAGAGACTATTACAAACAACTCTATGAAAAGAAACTAAACCTAGAAGAAATGGATAAATTCCTGGAAACATACAACCTACCAAGTTTGAACTAGGAAGAAACTGAAATCCTGAAAAGACCAATGACATGTTCCAAAATTGAATCAGTAATAAATAAATAAATAAATAAAACTTACTAACTAGAAAAAGCTCTGGACCAGATGGATTCACTGCAGAATTCTACCAGACATATGAAGAAGAGCTAGTACTAATCCTACTGAAACAATTCCAACAAATCGAGGAGGAGGGACTCCTCCCTAACTCGTTCTATGAGGCCAGCATCATTCTGATACCAAAAACTGGTGGAGAAACAATGTAAAAAAAAAAACAAAACAAAACCTTCAGGACAATGTCCTTGATAGACACAGATGCAAAAACCCTCAACAAAATACTGACAACGCAAATCCAGCAGCACATTAAAAAGCTAATTCATCACAATCAAGTAGGCATTATTCATGGGATGCAAAGTTGTTTCAACAAAAGCAAATCAATAAACTTTACTCATCACTTAAGCAGAACTGAAAACAAAAACCACATTATAATCTCAATATATTACAAAAAGGCTTTTGATAAAATTTTTTACCCCTTCACATTAAAAACTGAACCAACTAGGCACTGAAAGAACAGAAATCAAAATAATAAGAACCATTTATGAAAAACTATAGCCAACATTATACTAAATGGGCAAAAGCTGGAAGCATTCCCCTTGAGAACCAGAACAGGAAAAGGATGCCTACTCTTACCACTCCTATTCTAAATAGCTCTCGAAGTCCTAGCCAGAGAAATCAGGCAAGAAAAATAAACAAAGGTCATACAAATAGGAATAAATGAAGTCAAACTATCTCTCTTTGTAGACTATATAATTCTATACATAGTAAACTCTACAGTCTCAGCCCAAAGGCTCCTAGACCTGATAACTTCATCAAAGTTTCAGGATACAATGCCGATGTACAAAAATCGGTAGCATTTCCATACACCAAAAACATCCAAGCTGAGATCCAAATTAAAAATGCAATCCCATTCACAATAGCCCCTAAATAGAATACCTAGGTACACAGCTAACCAAGGAGCAGAAAGAACTTTACATCAAGGATTACAAAACATTCTTAAAGAAATCAGAGATGACACAAATAAATGAAAAAACACTCCATGCTCATGGATAGGAAAAATAAATATTGTTAAAATGACAATGCTGCTCAAAGCAATTTACAGATTTAATGATATTTGTATCAACATACCAATGTCATTTTTCACAGAATTGGAAAAAAAAACTATCCTAAAAATTCATATGGAACCAAAAAAGAACCCAAATAGCCAAGAAAATCCTATGCAAAAATAACAAAGCTGGAGGCATCATGTTTGCCAACTTCGAACTACACTACAAGGCTACAGTGACCAAAGCAGCATGATACTGATACAAAAATACATAGACCAATAGAATAGGTTATGGAACATGGAAATAAAGCTACCTACCTACAACCATCTGATTCTCAACAAAGTAAACAAAAACAAGCAACGGGGAAAGGTACTGGGATAACTGGCCAGCCATATATAGTAGATTGAAACTGGACCCCTTCCTTTCACCATATACATAGAGCAACTGAAGATGGATTAAAGACTTAAATGGCAAACTTAAAACTATTTTTAAAAAACACCCTAGAAGAAAACCTAGGAAATGCCATTCTGGACATAGTCCCTGGTATATATTTTATGATGAAGGCTCCAAAAGCAATTGCAACAAAAACAAAAATTGGCTAGTGGGACTTAATTAAACTAAAGAGCTTCTCCACAGCAAAAGAAATTATCAACACAGTAAACAACCTATAAATGGAAGAAAATATTTGCAAACTATGCAGCTAACAATAGTTTAATATTCAGAATCTATAAGGTACTTAAATCAACGAGCAAAAAAACGTACAACCCCATTTTGGGCAAAGGACATAAACAGACAGCCAACAAGCATACGAAAAAATGCTCAACACCGTTAATCATCAGAAAATTGCCAATCAAAACCACAGTGAAATACCATCGCACACCAGTAATAAAGGATATTATAAAAAGTGGAAAAATAACAGATGCAGATGAAATATAGAGAAAAGAGGATGCTCATACATTGCTGATGGGTATGTAAATTGGTTCAGCCATTTTCAAGAAAGCAATTTGGAGATTTCTCAAAGAACTTAGAACCACCAGTTGACCCAGAAATCCCTTTCCTGGGTATACATCCAAAGGAATATAAATCATTTTACCACAAAGACACATGCATGTGTATATTCATTTGGTATTCACAATACCAAAGGCATAGAATCAACCAAGGTGCCCATCAGTGGTGGGATGGATAAAGGAAATGAGGTACATATACACCATGGAATATTATGCAGCCATACAAAATGAAATTATGTCCTTTGCCATAACAAGGATGGAGCTGTATGCCATTACCTAAGTGAATTAACATAGGAACAGAAAACTAAATACCACATGTTCTCACTTATAAATAGTAGCTAAACACCAAGAACATAGAACACCAATAAGGGAACAGTAGATACCAGGGCCTATTTGAGGGTGGAAGTTGGAGGAGAATGAGAATGGAAAAACTATCTGATACTGTACTGACTACCTGGTTGATGAAATGATTTGTACACCAAACTCCCACAACATACAATTTACCCGTATAAGAAGCCTGCACATGTATCCCTGAAACTAAAATAAAAGTTGAAAGGGAAGAGTAAATAAATAGAAAAAAAAAGGAAGTACCAACCATTTTCCTCATAACCTCTTTGTGGTACAAAGTAGTTCCAATTCATTCTAGACCCTGACTCAAGGTAGAGCAAGGATGTGGCTTTGTCTAAAATTTCTAATTAATTAATTTGCATTTTTCAGTATGCTGAAAGGGCCCCATTGCCAGTTTGTGCAGGACAGCGTTCACCCTTGACCTTAACCTTACTTGATTAAACTGTTTTTCCCCAGGTATTTCTGGTTCATACCTAGGACAAAAGCAGACAAAATAGTTCTCATTTCTTCCTACTTTCTGTTCCTTTGCCAGTAAGGCTTTAATGACCTGTAGCTTTTTTATTAATTAATAATTTACCTGGATGCATACCATCCCCTTGGATTTAGTAGATAGCTCCCCTCAAAGTGGCTACACACACACACATACACACACACACACACACACACACACAGTAGTTTCTGAGTAGTACCACTCAGGAACAAATGCTGCAGAAACTTTGAAGATAAGCTGAGCTGGCCTCTGAGAATCTCTGTAAAGCAAGCAATTCTGGGCAGATCAGTCCAAGAGTATGCTGGACTAGAGATGGTGAGGTGAGGAAACAGGTAGAATGGGCATATTTATCTTTTGAGAATCCAACTGAAGTAATATATTAAATTCTGATATTCACCAGGTCAGAAGGATAGAATAAAATAAATACAAAATATTTGGATTATGGCCTTCATTTTGACACTATTACCAACTAAAAAAGAGACCCCTAAAAATAAGAAAAGAAAAAACAAAATATATGCTTGTTTAAAAATTTGCCATGTGTTAATTCAGCCATACAAATTAGCACGGCTATAGCCTTAGAATCTGTATTTAATTAGCTTGTGGCTATCCTGGGAAGGAATGTTCACAACAAAATTTCAAAGCACCTTGTTGGCCACAAGTGTGTACTATGTCTTGACAACATATGCATATATTCATTATCAAGGCTGAAAATACAAAATATTAGTAATGTTTTTATCCAATCTTTTATATTATACAAACTGCTTGATTTAAATAATTTGTGAACTAGAAATGTCAAAGTAATATTAAATTGAAATATTTATACAACCACTTTTGATTAAGCTACTATTATTTTGCTCATCTAGAACAGGGTTTCCCAACCCCTAGGTCGCTGCAGTAGTAGTACCCATGGCTTGTGAGGAACTGGGCCGCACAGCAGGAAGTGGGCAGTGGACAAGCATGCTCTACAGCCTGAGCTCTGCCTCCTGTCAGATCAGTGAACAGATTAGATTCTCATAGGAGCACGAACCCTATTGTGAACTGCACATGTGAGGGGTCTAGGTTGTGTGCTCCTTATGAGAAACTATTGCATTCCACTCTGCCCACCCCAGTTGGTGGAAAATTGTCTCCCACAAAACCAATCCTGGTCCCTGTTGCCAAAAATGTTGGGGACCACTAATCTAGAAGTATTAGCAACAGTGTTATTAGTTCCAAAGAATAAAATTGATTATGTTTTTAGGGAACAATGAAGTACTAATTCCATGATTTTGTTCATTTATGTCTTTTCAGTCTAATTTCCACTTCCATAATAATTCTACAGAGTAAACTCAGAGACAACTGTTTCTCCCTCAAAACTACCCAAACTACCAGCCGGGTGATTAGAGAAAGGATTTTATTACCAGAGATAATTCTTAAATTGTGCCAAATTTTAGTAAATTATTAAACAAATGCTCAGATTGAGACTATTTCAAAGCGAGAACTAAAGGCCCTATTAAAAATAAATGGGTATCCTCATTAAACATGGGATTTTGCTGAGGATTTTATACTTTAAAAAGATACAACTGACATGTATAAAATGTCCGAATCTGTGCCAAGTGTCGTCCCAGGTGCTGCAGGTGACTGTGACAGGGCCTTTTCCCTCTGGGCTCTCCCAGTTCCTCTCTGGTTCTGAGTCAGGGGGGTTTATGGTTTAGCTCCTGCACTGAGTTTCCAGTTCAACTCAATTAAATTATACATGCATTTATGAAATATATAATATGTAATATAAAATATAGATATAACCAGGCCCTGAAGAGAATGTAAAATAAATAAAGCGAGTTATTCGGAAATCTGTCATTGAATCTTATTTACACATATTTTTCTTTTCTTTTTCAGGCAGGATTGCCTCATGGCCTGAACATCATCATCGTTTATTAAACTGCAACTGGAAACTAGAAACTTGGCTTGTATATTCTTTAACCACAATCACCCTACAGATCTGCTGTGCACAGTGCACGCCCACATCCCTTTTAATATGTTGCTCACTATCCTCAGGAGGACCAAGAATCAGGCATTCCCCATTACCTCAAACCATCACTATTTCTTGCCACCTTGATTCTTAATCCAGCATAAATTCCATGCAATTGTTAAATTATACATCATAAATCACCATTTTGATATTTGAAACTATTTGTGTTCCCCATTACACATAGTTTGAATTCCCTAATCTATCCCTCTCATTCTGCTGGATACTCATCTTAGATGCTTTATGATCCAACCTGGATGGCCTGTGCCCCAAATATTCCTGTTGCCTGCACTAACCACCCCACTACCCTGTGCCTTTCAAAATTGAAGAGTGGCTATTAGATGGAGGCAATGAGAAGCCAGCCCCAGTTGGAAGTGTTCTTCCTCTCCTCCAACTCATACAGCCCTCACTTAGAAGTCTCATGATTTCTCTACTTTACCCCCATCCCAGGGCAGGATTCCTTCTATGACTTCCAACAAGTTTCTCCTGTCAAGTGTGATGTTACTCTATATTTCCTAGTTAGTTCTATATGAATCCTCCCTTCCCTGACCCTAGAGTATAAATCCCTCGACAAAAGGCATCATGTTTCAGAACTCCTTATTATCTATAGCCTACCAGTGACTTAGACATGGGCAATGCTCAATAAATAATTGGGAAACAAGCATCAGGAATAAGCTATCCTCTGGGAAAGTTTCTGTCACTGAAGTTGACTTTTTAAATGTGTTAACTGACTACAGTTGTTGAGCTCCACAGAGGTCACCTGGGGAAATTACAGGACTCAGTTGACCCCTGGGTTGTTGACAGTTTTACCTCTTATCTCTGCCTTCTGGTGTGAACTATAAGAACTGGACCTGGAGTTACAGAGAGTGCGTCCCTAATACATCCTTGCTGACTTTGGGGAGGTTTATTTTCGGAACACTGCAGGTAGAGGAACATATTACTTACCAGCCTCTGTTGCAGTTTCATTGGATCATCTCTCTCTTGGGCCTCAGACAACCAAGAATTCACTTAATCTAATATATAGCAAGGTATTCCTCTATTTTATGTTGTTTTCATAGTATGAAACCTTGAATTCAGCTTTTGTAATAGTACCATTTTCAAATTTTATATAAACAGATATATTTATTGTTTTTGAAAATTCTGTAAAATTTGGATGTGCATTTTGGTCATAAGATAGATTAAATTGAATGAAATACGTTTCATTCTGCTTTTAAAAGAGGTTTAATAATATTTTATAATTACAAATCTACAAGGCTACATGGTTCTTGTTAGTTTAACAGATTGTTTTTCAATATTGGTTTGAATGTCCTTTTGGAAGTGAAAAAAATTTTATTACCATAAACATCAAATTGTGTCCCTATCTCAAACATTAAGGTTCCAGGTATTTTAGTGTATAAAGTGTAGGTATTAATACTGTCAATACTTAAATTGCATGACTTCTTTTCTCTCTGTTGTCTTATCTATGATATACACAAATAATTTTATTGAGTACTTCCAAGAAGATCAAATTTTTGTCTTGATATCACTACAAATCCTTCCAGGGGCATCTAATTGGTGAATGAAGCTCTGTAGCACCTATTAGTTTTCAAAGCAATTAGATTTATCAATTAATTTAAATTTGTTTATAATTGCTAATTGTTATTAGTTTATGTTAGATTGCATATCTGTGTACCCCCTCCTAAAATATACATCTTAAAATTTTAATCCTCAATGGAATGGTACTAGGACATGGAGCCTTTGGGAGGTTATTAGGTTAGATCCCTTGCATCCAAATTTATAATAGGGTTCACACTCCTATGAGAATTTAATGCCATTGCTGATCTGACAGGAGGAGGAGCTCAGGCGGTAATGCTGACTCCCCTGCCTCTCACCTTCTGCTGTTCAGCCCAGTTCCTCATAGGCTATGGACAGGTACTGGTGAGCAGCCCCAGGGAGCAGGGACCCCTGAAGTAGAGAACCTTCCCCGAACCTGACCATGCTGGAATCCTGCTTGTTGACTTCTAGCCTCCACTCCAGAACTGTGAGAAACATATGTTTGTTGTTTAAGCTACCCAGTCTATGGTATTCTGTTACAGCAGCTCAAACTAAGATAGAGATAATGAGAGATATAATCTGTGACAATTGTGATGTTATGTTAAAGTCATGTTATCTTAAAAATTGTTATGTTAGGGGCAGATCCAAGATGGCCGAATGGCAACAGCTCTGGAGTGCAGTTCCCAGCAAGATCAACACAGAGGGTGAGTGATCACCGCATTTCCAAACAAGTTATTACTGCCCACAGACCAGGAGATTACCGGGCTGAAAAGCAAACAAGTTTCCAGGATGGCTGGTGCAGCGCATCTCTGCACAAAAACACACAAATCTGGGTGGCCATTTCAACTGGACCCCAGAAAGCCTGGGAGACAGAGCCGCCCATTCAAATGGAAAAAAAAGGGGGCTGAGACAGGGAGCCAGGTGATCTAGCTTGGCAGGTCCCACCCCCACAAAGACCAGCAATCTGAAATGGTCTGGATTGAAAGTTTCACAGCAAGCATAGCAAGACCCAGGATGATCCAGCTCTGTTGGGGGAAGGGCGTCTGCGATTACTGAGGCAGTCCACCACTACCAAGGCAGTCCGCCATTACCAAGGCAGTCCACTATTACCGATGCAGTCTGCCATTACCCAGGCAATCCACCATTACCAAGGCAATCTGCCATTACAGAGGCAGTCTTCAATTACTGAGGTAGACCACCATTACCGAGGCAGTTCTAACTATACCTCTATAAACAATACTGCAAGGAAGTTCACACAGCAGCTGGTCAGAGCCCACAGCTCAGCAATGCCTCTGTTGGCAGACTGTGACTAGGCTACCTCCTCACTGGGCAGGGCATCTCTGAAAAAAGACAGCAGCACATCAGGAACTTATAAATAAAGCCCCACCTTCCCAGGACAGATCACCTGGGAAAAAAGGTGGTTATGAGTTCCGCTGCAGCAGACTTAAACGTACCTGCCCAGCAGCTCTGAACAGAACAATGGAGCGCACAGCTCAACACTTGAGCTCCTATAAAGGACAGACTGTCTCCTCAAGCAGCTCCCCGATCCCTGTATATCCAAAGAGACACCCAATAAAGGAGAGCTCAGGCTGACATCTGGCAGGTATCCTTCTGGGACAAAGATAACAGAAGAAGAAACTGGCAGCAACCCCTACTGTTCTGCAGCCAACACAGGTAATCCCCAGGCAAGCAGGGTCTGGAGTGGACCTCCAGCAGTCCTACAGCAGAGGGGCCTGACTGTTAGAAGGAAAACTAAAAAATAGAAAGAAATAACTTCATCATCAATGAAAAGGATGTCCAGTCAGAGACTCCATCCAAAAGTCACCAACTACAAAGACCACAGGTAGATAAATCCACAAAGTTGGGAAGACCAGCACAAAAAGGATGAAAACACCCAAAACCAGAATGCCTCTCCTCCTCCAAGGGAGCACAACTCCTCACCAGCAAGGGAACAAAGTGGGATGGGGAATGAGTCTGATGATTTGACAGAAACAGGCTTCAGAAGGTGGGTAATAATAAACTCCTCTGAGCTAAAAAAAACATGTTCTAACCCAATGCAAAGAAACTAAGAACACTGAAAAAAGGATTGATGAAATGCTAATGAGAATAAACAGCTTAGAGAAGAATATAAATGACTTGATGGAGCTGAAAAACACAAAACAAAAACTTCACGAACCATACACAAGTTTCAATAGCCGAATTGACCAAGCAGAAGAAAGGATATCAGAGATTGAAAATCAACTCAATGAAATAAAATGAGAAGGCAAAATTAGAGAAAAAAGAGTGAAAAGAAATGAACAAAGCTTCCAAGAAATGTGGGATTATGTGAAAAGACCTAATCTACATTTGATAGGTGTACCTGAATGCGATGGAGAGAACGAGTCCAAGCTGGAAAACACTCTTCAGGATATTATCCAGGAGAACTTCCACAACCTAGCAAGGCAGGCCAACATTCAAATCCAGAAAATAGAGAGAACACCACAAAGATATTCCTCAAGAAGAGCAACCCCAAGGTACATAATCATCAGATTCACCAGGGTTGAAATGAAGGAAAAAATACTAAGGGCAGCCAGAGAGAAAGGTTGGGTTACCCACAAAGGGAGGTCCATCAGACTAACAGTGGATCTCTCAGCAGAAACCCTAAATCCAGAAGAGAATAGGGGCCAATATTCAACATCCTTAAAGAAAATAATTTTCAACCTAGAATTTCATATCCAGCCAAACTAAGCTTCACAAGCAAAGGAGAAATAAAATCATTTACGAACAAGCAATTGCTGAGAAATTTCATCACCACCAGGCCTGCCTTACAAGAGCTTCTTTAAGAAGCACTAAACATAGAAAGGAACAACCAGTACCAGCCACTCCAAAAACATACCAAATGGTAAAGATCATTGACACAACGAAGAAACTTCATCAACTAATGGGCAAAACAACCAGCTACCATCAAAATGTCAGGATCAGATTCACACATAACAATATTAACCTTAAATGTAAATGGGCTAAATGCCCCAATCAAATGACACAGACCCACATATTGGATAATAAGTCAAAACTCATCAGTGTGCTGTATCCAGGAAACCCATCTCCTATGCAAGGATACACATAGGCTCAAAATAAAGGGATGAGGAAGATTTACCAAGCAAATGGAGAGCAAAAAAAAAAGTAGGAGTTGCAATCCTAGTCTTTGATAAAATAGACTTTAAACCAACAAAGATCAAAAGAGACAAAGAAGGGCATTACATAATGGTAAAAGGATCAATGCAACAAGAAAAGCTAATGATCCTAAATATATACACACTCAGTACAGGAGACCCAGATACATAAAGCAAGTTCTTAATGACCTACAAAGAGACTTAGACTCTCACACAACAATAGTGGGAGACTTTAACACTCCACTGTC